TGCGAGGTGCCGCCGCCGCGCGGCAGCAGCGGCAGGCCCTCCTCGGCGGCGATCTCGACGGTGGCGCGCAGGTCCGCCTCGCTCTTGGGCACCACCACGCCCAGCGGTTCGAGCTGGTAGATCGAGGCGTCGGTGGCGTAGCGGCCGCGGCTGAAGGCGTCGAACAGCACCTCCCCCTCGAGCGCGCCCCGTAGCTTGCGCGCCAGGGCGGCGTCGCCGCGCGCGGCGGTGGACGGCCTCGTCGGCCGGGCGGCGGCGACGGACATGGCGGCTCCTCTTGTCCTTCGGAAACGAAAGACTAGCGCAAATTGCATTCAAGATGCAACCTTGGACGGCAGCCGCCGGCCCGAGTCGACCGCCGTTTGCCCGGCAGTAAACCGCGTATTATTGACGGGCGCTGCGATCTTATGGCGAAAAATGAGTTTGAGGCGTTGCATCTTGCATGCATAATGACCTGACCGCGGTGACGTCCGCGGCTTCCGCGCGCTGAAACAGGGGGGTCGCCGCCACCATGGTCCTGCACACCGGCCGCCATTTCCTGCAGATCCCCGGGCCGACCAACGTGCCCGACCGCGTGTTGCGGGCGATCGACCACCCCACGATCGACCACCGCGGGCCGGAGTTCGCCGATCTCGGACGCGCCGTGCTGGCCGGCATGCAGCGGGTCTTCCGCACCGAGGGGCCGGTGGTGATCTACCCGGCCTCGGGGACCGGCGCCTGGGAGGCGGCCCTGGTCAACACGCTGTCGCCGGGCGACAAGGTGCTGATGTTCGAAACCGGCCACTTCGCCAGCCTCTGGCGCAAGCTGGCCGAGCGGCTCGGCCTCGACCCGGTCTTCGTGCCCGGCGACTGGCGCCGCGGCGTCGATCCCGCCGCCATCGAGGCGCGGCTGCGCGCCGACGCCGGGCAGGAGATCAAGGCGGTCTGCGTGGTGCACAACGAGACCTCGACCGGCGTGACCAGCCGCGTCCCCGAGGTGCGCAAGGCGATCGACGCGGCCGGCCATCCGGCGCTGCTGCTGGTCGACACCATCTCCTCGCTGGGCTCGATCGACTACCGCCACGACGCCTGGGGGGTCGACGTCACAGTCGCTGGCTCGCAGAAGGGACTGATGCTGCCGCCCGGCCTGAGCTTCAACGCGATCAGCGCCAAGGCGCTGGAGGCCAGCAAGACGGCCCGTCTGCCGCGTTCCTACTGGGCCTGGGACGAGATGCTGGGGCCCAACGCGACGGGCTTCTTCCCCTACACCCCGGCGACCAACCTGCTGTTCGGCCTGCGCGAGGCGCTGACCATGCTGCTGGAGGAGGAGGGGCTGGAGGCGGTCTTCGCCCGCCATGCGCGCCACGCCGAGGCGACCCGCCGGGCGGTGCGCGCCTGGGGGCTGGAGCTGCTCTGTCAGGAGCCGCGCGAGTATTCCGCGGCGCTGACGGCGGTGGTCATGCCCGAGGGCCAGGACGCCGACGCCTTCCGCAAGACCGTGCTGGAGCGCTTCGACATGTCGCTCGGCGCCGGCCTGTCGAAGCTGGCCGGTCGCGTCTTCCGCATCGGCCACCTGGGCGCGTTCAACGACCTGACCCTGATGGGCACCCTGGCCGGGGTCGAGATGGGGCTGGTCGCGGCCGGGGTGCCGCATCGGGCCGGCGGCGTGCAGGCCGCCCTGGACCACCTGGCGGCCGAGCCGCAGGCCGACTCGCCGAAACTGGCCGCCGCCGGGGAGTGAAGCGGCGCCGGACAGGCGCGCAAGAAAGGGGGCGAGCCAAGAGTTATCGCCGGGCCTGGCGGAGCGGACGCCGCCGGGCCGGGCCAGGAGCAAGCAAGAACGGCCGAAGGCCGCGCGACGCAACAACGATATCAAAGGGAGGTTCGTGCCATGAAGATGCTGAAGCTCGCCGGCGCCCTGCTGGTTTCCGCCAGCCTGACGGCGCCGTTGGCCGCCAAGGAGCTGAAGTTCGGCCACGTCGGGGCGCCGGGATCCCTCTTCGCCGCCTCGGCCGAGCACTTCGCCGAGGTGGCCAACGCCAAGCTTCCGGACGGCTGGTCGGTCGCCGTGTTCGGCTCCAGCCAGCTCGGCAAGGACAAGGAGCTGCTGCAGAAGCTCAAGCTGGGCACCGTCGACTTCGCCCTGCCCTCCTCGGTCATGTCCTCGGTGGCGCCGGAGTTCGGGCTGTTCGAGATGCCCTACCTGGTCAAGGACCGCGAGCACATGAAGCGGATCGAGGCGGAGATCGTCTGGCCGCAGATCGCGCCGGCGGCCGAGGCGCAGGGCTACAAGGTCCTGGCCCTCTGGGAGAACGGCTTTCGTAACATCACCAACAACGTGCGGCCGATCACCACGCCGGCCGACCTGGACGGCGTCAAGCTGCGCACGCCGAACGGCGAGTGGCGGGTGAAGATGTTCCAGTCCTACGGCGCCAACCCGACGCCGATGGCCTTCTCCGAGGTCTTCGTCGCGCTGCAGACCGGCGTGATCGACGGGCAGGAGAACCCGCTGGCGCAGATCGCCTCGGCCAAGTTCCAGGAGGTGCAGACCTACCTGTCGATGACCGGCCACGTCTACACGCCGGCCTACGTCACGGTCAGCGCCAATCATTTCGGCAAGCTGCCCGAGGCGGTGCAGGCGGCGCTCACCGAGGCGGCGCGCGAAAGCCAGAGCTTCGTCTACGAGACGGCGGCCCAGATGGACGTCGACCTGCTGGAGCAGCTCAAGGCCGGCGGCATGGAGGTCAACGAGGCCGACAAGCAGGCCTTCATCGAGGCCAGTGCCTCGATCTACGCGGCCTTCGCCGAGGAGGTCGAGGGCGGCCAGGAGATGGTGGACGCCGCCATCGCCCTGGGCGCCGGCTCGTGACGCGGCTCGGCGCGTGACGTCGCTCGGCGCGTAACGCGCGGCGGCCCGGCGCCGCCGCGCGCTCGGGAG